CCTGTATTATCTTGTTTAGAGCAGACCCAGAGCTGCCCCAGTGCAGTTAAAACGAACAAGCCCATTGTCTAATCACCTAAAGCTCTCTCCAAGTCCTCCATGGTTTTGGTGATAAGTTGTTCTGTGTGTGACAGTTTCCCTGGTGGGAGGAGTGAAGACTGTTGCTGAAGTTTATCGATTTGTAAAAAAGTCGAATAGAATTACCTAAGGAATTTCAACGTGGTCTATAGGATCTAGAGGGTTTGTGCCGAATAGCAGGTTTTAAGCTAAAGACATTCCACTTTAAAAATAAAAAAGTATAACGTTCAGTGAAGTAAACATACCGGTTAAAATATCTATATTCTCACGTGGTAACGTTCAATTAAAAAGACAAACATGTCTGTTAAGTATATTTTTCCAAACGAGATATTAGAAATAATTTTCAATTTCTGTGATGTATGTACTTTATATCAGCTTACTATGGTATGCAGACAATTTAATATTGTAGCATGCGATACATTAAATAAAAAAAGTCAACATTTATTTGTCAGTATCACGAATCAGAAATCGAAAAAATTTGGTGAACGGTAAGTTATATAAAGCTTAATCTTCATTTATATTTTAATTTATTCTAGAACAGTGCTCGGAATTAGTTGAGCATTTTAGCCGATTTCCGTAGTTGACGTTTTCTTTCCTCTACTTGTCACGCACGCCGCAACTACTAGAACCAGCGCCGAGCATTAAGAGCGGCACTATTCAATTATGAGTGGGTTTTTCCCTCTTGATTATTGAAATTTATGAAAATTTATTAAAAATATTTTTCTATTTTTAAATTTACTATGTTGAAATATTTCAATAGATTTCCGCGTCACTCATAAGGTACTATTGCAGACGCAAATTTTTTTTCCTTTTTCTTTAGTCATAGGATGATATTTGTAGTCCGTTCTTATATTCAAGATCGTCTTAAGTGCGGACTAATATTCGCTCTTTTCGTCACACACAGAATGTGTCTGTGCAACAGAAAAACAGACCATGCGGGCATACACAAGCGAGAACCGCATGTCACGCGTCCGTGTGCGCACGCGTCTGTGTGCGTAGCATACTATATTTTGTGTCACTTCCTCAGTCTGTGACAAATGCTACGTACGATAAATGCTAAGAAGTCAAGCGTTTTTAATCGAGTAAGGCAAGTCGCTTAAATATTGGAGATTCCGTGTTCGAGACCTGCATCTTGCAATTTTTTTTTTTTTGCATTTCTTTCTAACGCTCTAATGCACGATCAAGTAAATAATAAAAGGCACCAAGAGCAATCGCTGGATGTTAGTGCAAGGATTGTTAATATTTTTTATACAGAAAATTGATTTTTGTCTACTAGAGACATTATTAAAGTGTACACAATCTCGGATTCAAGATACTAAAGTGTACGAACATTACATACATTGATCTCATATTTGAGAATCTAAATGTACGAAATAAAGGATAGAAAGGAAGTTTCTAGAAAGAAGGAAGGATGAGAGAAAAATATCAGGGCGCGAGCGGCTAAGCCAGGACTTGAACCCGGGTCTTTCACTTTCCGGGCGATTGTTCTGACCACTAAACTACTCAGACCCCACGCTTCTAACATTCACTCTCGCTGGTTATTAGGAAATAAACAAATCTATAGGAGAACGACGCGATTTGAAGCCCGCGTGAATTTAAAATCATTAATATATAAAGAATTGGCTCTAATGATTTAAATCAAATTACTACAAATTGAAAGGCACCAAGAGCAAACTTTAACCAAGAGTACACTTTAATAACGTCTCTAGTAGACAAAAATCAATTTTCTGTATGAAAAATATTAACAATCCTCGCACTAACATCCAGCGATTGCTCTTGGTGCCTTTCAATTTGTAGTAATTTGATTTAGATCATTAGAGTCAATTATACATATAGCTTATATATTAATAATTTTAAAAAAATAAAAATATAAAATGCTAAGAAGCCAAGCGTTTTTAATCAAGTAAGGCGAGTTGCTTGAATATTAGAAAATCCAAGTTCGAGACCTGCATTTTGCAACTTTTTTTGCACATCAGTTTCTAACAGTAATCAATCAAATTATTAAATAATGTTTTCGACAAAAAAGTATTATTTTATATTACAGATGTAAACCACTATTATCTTCATATAATTCTATATTTATTACATATTACAACTGGATATATGCAAGATATAAAAGAAGTGAAGTATATGAAGCAGAAGAAAGACATGTTATATATTATGAAACGAGTAATCAATCCCTACAAATGACTAAAAATACGGTTTGGTTTTGTGAAGATGGTAATTTTCTTGCTTATAATCGCGCAGACAACGGTACCATTAAAAAGGATGAAAAGATTGTGGGAAATAATTACACTTTTATTAAATCTATTGCTCATTGCGATGATTATATTATAAGTGGCGACGTGTGAGTATTTATTTATAAACTGTATTTTATGTTTATTTCTTATTTTTATTTTTGACAAAATTCTTGCAGAGCAGGTATTATTAAACACTGGAGAATTGAATCAGGAAAGGACAGAAGAAATAATCTTAAATATTCAGAAATACATGATGTAGATACAAAAATTGATTTCATAGACGCAACATCACAACACATTACATCTGCTTCTAAGAATTTAATAAAGGTAAGATTCAAGAGAAATTGGAATAATGCTATCTTAATGTAGTATGTAAAAAGTTTGTTTTTGTATAGATACTGAAATATACAGACGATAAAAAAGGTTGTACGGAAGAAAAGCAAATATTTTGTGGAGTCGACGTGGAACAACCTGAAGACTATTGTTTTGACGACCAAATTTATGTAACATCAATCTCATTTGACCCTATAGGAACAAAATTTGCTGCTAGTTTCAATGATTATGATCAATCATCATCGTCGTTTCTAATTTATGATATTGAAAAAAGGTAAGTTATATTTCAATTAATTGACCAGTTTCTACAAATGTTGCTTTAAACATTGACTATGTTTATACAGACACTATTATATGATTCGATTTAATATCATTTTTAATTATAACTTACAAGGACGGTTTGATAACCCAAAAATTCTAAAAAATTTGAAACTCCAGAAATATAATATATGAACCTAATCAAAAAGCTATTTTTTGTTTTGACAAAAAACAATCCTAGAGGGAGAAATACCCTACGGAAAATCGATTTTTTATGAAGAGTGTTTCTACCCCTACAATCATTTTTTAGTTATAACAAAAAATAGCTTTTTGATTAAGTTCATATGTATTATATTTCTGCAAAGTTTCAAATCTTTTAGAATTTTCGGGTTATCGAACCTTTCTTTTAGTGAGTACAGAACTATATATACAGGAATGGGCACTGAATCGTCTGTCATAAGAAAGAACTACATGTTGTGTAATACTGTCCTTTTACATACAGTCAATTTCGATCCTTTTGACTGTTGCTGGATTCACACTGAGTCCGATTTCCGACGTACGATGTCCAATATCCAATAAGAAAGATTGTTTTATATAAAACAAACTCTCCTATTGAATATCGTGCGTTGAAAATCGGACCCAGTGTGAATCCAGTATGTGTTTGGCGTAGTAGGTACACACCAGTTGTACAGAAAAAGTTGCATAAACATATGCATAAAATAATTGATTGGTCCATTCCCTTATGCATTTGCTTATGGACCAATCAATTTCTTTATGCATATGTTCATGCAATTATGCAAGTTTGTCTGAATAAGTCCTTACACATGAATTTCTCAACGAGTGTCAAGGCACATTTGAATTTGCTTGTGAAATTCACACTCGTCTAAATTTATGTGTTAAGGTATTTCTGTACCGTGTGTACAATCGGTACAATACCTACGAATCGAGCGTAAAAACTTTTTGACCTGTTTGTATATCTATAAAGTATAGACTGCTGAATTTCCATCTTAATAATGAGTGAAAATTGTGGGCATGAAAAAGAGTAAAAATATATTTTTGCTCTTTTACATCGTGGAAGCATCCGTCGTTAAGCCCGTATCAGACTACGTATTAAAGATTGAAAATTAAAGATTGAAATTGAACTAATCAATACAAAAAAAGCCAATTGTTCTTTATCCTGATCGGTCAAATTTCAATTTTCAATCTTTAATCTCTATCTTTAATGTGTAGTCTGATACGGGCATTATGCTCGTATATAAGATTATACTCTGTCCAGCGAGAGAAAATTTCACGGTCTGCGCATAGAAGCATAGCAGTCAAAGTGGGAAGAGCGTTGCGCCACCCGCTGGCATTGGCAAGCTGTACAAGCAGAACAGTTGTATGAAATGGTGGGCTTTCTAAGCGTCCCGTGAGGGGAGACCTGAGCGAAACGGACGAGTTTCCGTCCTAACCGTGGATCTTTCTCTCGCTAGACAGAACATAGATTTTTATGTATATTTGGAATAAAATATACATCATGCTAATGTTAAGCAATTTTAGTTATCAAGTAATGGAAAAAGAATGTGAAGAATCTTGTTGCCAACTACTATGGGAAGATCCTTACACTATTCTTATGTGTTTTGAGAAATCTATTAAAAAAATGGATATGAGGTAATAAATCCTATTGTTGATATTAATTAGTTATTCAATTTCTTTATATTTGCTACTGTGATTTCAGAGTATCCGATTATGTACGTACATGGAATTCTTCGCAATATGAATATTCATTTTGTTGCTCATCGGATAATATGTACACTTTTATGACAGGGCATTATGAGTGTGTTCTATGGGATCAAAGACAGAGTGTTGCCATTCAAGTTTGTATTTTCAAATTTTTTGTATTTTGTACTTTATTTGTGAATTATTATTAACTGTCTTAAAAATTTTTAGACGTATGATGTGGTTCACTCTGTAAGTTCTAGAGGTATAATTTCTCTAGCATTTGATAGTGGCCATATGTATGCTATTACACGCAATTTTCTTTATGAATTGGATTTTACGGAAAGACACCACTTTAAGCACAAAAAAATAAAAAAGTTATTTGGCAATTTTTATTAAATAAAAAAAATTGGTTGATAATTTTTTAAATTATATTTTGAATATTTATATAAATTCAATGAACTCTATACAGATTGGGAAGCGCCATGCTACTCAAGATGCGATCAGACAAAGAGATTATTTGAAATGTTTTGTCTCTCTCTGTTGTAGACTCTCTTCACTGAATTCTGTAATTGTTTATATTCATGTATACTCTACACATATGTATATAAAAAATGGATGCTTTTTATTAGCGTACAAGAAAAAAAGACAAAACAATCCCACTGTCTTTCTTTGTCTCTCCTTTATGCCACGCTTATATGGAAAAGCTTGCTTCAGACGAGTCTGCATGCAACTTGTTTAGGCCACTTTTTCCGATGTCGGTTAATTCTAACCGTCCGTTAACTTTTCAAAATAGCCAACTTCGAAACTTGTAACTAAATACGTCATCGATTCTAACTGATCCTAACCTGTAATCTTTTAGCACGGTGATATGTGACGGCATGTTAAAACACAGATGTCTATACTAGTACCAGAGAGAAGACTGATGCCCTATCTACACCGAAGGATAATCCTACTTGTGGCTCATCCGAGCGAGTAATGTAGACGACCGAAAATCATACTGAAGTTGGTTTCCAATCGTACCAACTCAAAAAGGCAAATCACTCATCAGAATATTTGCATATAAAAAGCAAAAGATATTTTTATAAAAAATAATCTTCTGTCGAACAGAATAACAATTCGGGTTATCTCAGATCGGATGAAAGTTTGTTTTATAGACTAGGTACTGAAATTATTACCGGTTTTAAAGTCAACGGTACCAATATAACAACACTAAAATTGTACTTAGTGTAGACGAGCGAAAGTGGTCGGATGAGCCACAAGTAGGATTATCCTTCGGTGTAGATAGGGCATGATAGTGGACATGCCCGCATTTTTCGTGTTTCTGTGGGCTAGCGCCTCTATGTGCACAAAACGTGCACATTGAACTACGTAGCCAATGTCCACGAATCCCGTAGGTAATGTCCACGATCTTTTGGGTCTCTTCCGTGCTATGTCCACGACTTTTTGGTTCCGATATGTGCTATATCTACAAAGTGTCGGTAATGCATACTTGTAAAACATGATTATGTATATCAATCAGATTTGAAATATAAGGTCTGTTCTTTATAGCTGAACTGGTTGCACTAGTTCAGAGTTTATCTTTCTCCTTCCAATGTGGAGGGAAAAAGATAAACTCTGAACTAGTGCAAC